TCTTGTAACAATCTTTACTGTTCAGAAGGCAGGAGATTATTATTTTCTCTCAATGTTAACTTGAGCATGTACTCAGCTATCTCCACCATGATCCAAATCAAGTGATTATTACAACAGGCTTAAATTTACTATGCAGGGTATGGCCCTGTCCATCTGCATAAATGCATGCCATAACAATATATAACATGCTATAACATGGCAGGCTAATATTTTTAATCACAGAATCATAGAATGGTTTGGGTTGGAAGAGATCTTAAAGATCCTCTAGTTCCAAGCCCCTGCCATGGACTGTAAAAGCAAAATTTAACAGTAATTCTCAATTTAAAAGGAATGATGTACATAAGCGTCTCTGAAAAGAAAGGGACAGTTTGAGGCAATTTTGACTGAAAAGTAGAGTGAGGTAATATGGGAAGAAATTTATTCAAGAAAGACAAGAGAAATATGAGTTACTTCTACTGACCATTGATCCAAGAGTTCTCAGCATGTGGTTTACACCACAATGTGGTGAAAATCAGCTGACAGTCCTGCAAAGCTTCAGCAGTCCCTGTTAACCCAAGCACTCTGCTCTGGTGCCCTAGCTCAGTGACCCTGTTCCAGCACAAACTACTCCCTCTTCCCTGTGCCCCGGATTCCATGCCAACACCACCTCAGGGACAGCACCTTGTGTCTGCACAATCCAGTACCTGAGGAAAAAGGACATTTCTGAAGCCTGTGTTGCCCCTACAGTGCTCCACCACTGAACTACAGCCATGCAAATTGGACTGGACTTCCTGTTCAATTAATATTCATCTAATTGTCATTTAATCTCATGTGTGTGTAACCCTGTGCTGGCTCAGCCCAACTGGATTCAATCATTCCCACCTTCAAAAGAGTATTTAGTGCTAAAATACTCCTAAAGCTGGAAGGGTGTTTCAGGCAGAATTTTAAGAACAGAGTTTAGAACAAAACTCTGATCAGAGTTGATCCATTTTTACAGCTTAAACCCTGCCCTTTCACTCTTACAGAGGGAGGAAGGAGAACTCTTCCTCTCCTGTTTTCCACAGCAGTAATTGCTTATGGCCACAGTTCTGGAGAAGCATAGAATGTGAACATACAGGCTGCAATTTTACCTGCCTTAATCCACTGAGTTTAGTAGAGCTAATTTGATGTTAAAGACCTCACTACATTTACTGCCATATTTTGGTCAAGGTATCTCATACCTAATCTCTTCAGCTAAGTAAAACAGAATTAACACAGATTTTTTCTTACAAATTCTGCACAGTGATTATGCACATGTTCACAAGGTTTCACAAGCAATGTTCTGTGGCTTATCTATTGTCTACTGGTATATCTGAGACCAAGATGTGATTTGATAGATGCAGACATATTTTGTAATTATTTTAGCCACGCCTGAGAAGTTGAATATCAAATAACAGACTTATCCTGCATTTCCTGTGTGTGGGCACATGTATCAGTTTAACAGCCTCATAAAACAAGTGTTTATAGTTTCAGTATGAATTGCCCAGTTTAGAAATCACAGAACCAGAGCTGCTATACATGTGGAGAAAAAATATTAAAAGTGCATGTTTTGGTTCAGCACAATTGATAAGCTGATACTCAGTTCAAAGTGACTTTTATCTTGGCAATTTAGAATATTGAAAAGGTTATGTGTGTTCATGAGAAAGGCACAGCTGTGTGGTCCCAACCTGAAGCATCTGCAAAGCTATTCAAGCAAACTGCAGCTCACTCCCACACACACACAGATAGCTTTGGGTGCCTTCTACATGAGCTACATGCACTGAAAAGACTTTTGGGAACATTTTTATTACTTTGAAACATCCAATTTTCACCTAACCTTACAGCCTCTCTTTATAAATGTAAAGCTTCAAAATAACTCGGGTCATTTTCCTGTAACTAGAGCTATAAAAAGGGTCTTCAGCAGAACTTTTTCTAAAAGACTGCTGACTCTGTGAAGATGGGAATAAAACTCTGTTCTGAGAATGAAACTCAGCAGCCTGGATCTTAGCTGGTGGCTTAGTGCCTAAATCTCCTGCTGAAGATCTGGCTCAGCTCTTTTGGGAGAAAACAAGCCCTTATGACACTAACAGCAGAACTCCTGCTGTCTCCAAAGAAGACAATTTCTCTTTCCAATTTTTCAGCCAACTATTCGGTTCCACTTTTCTGGCAATGTCTAAGCCTGTGGCTTAAGGTTTCCTAATGTCAGACATCATTACCAACTACCCAGATTTCCAATGTCCCAAATCTTATCATCAAACATCAAATACCTCTCTTCAGTATATTCCTCCTGTGCCTTAGGTGCTTGTGTGAGACCACACAGAGACACTGAGTGAGCCAGGGTGCACAGAGCAGCAGAGGAATGGCAGTGCAGGTGTGTGCAATCACCAAGTGTCTCCCACTGTGACTCCTTCAGGGTGGCTCACCTTCAGCCCAGAGTCTGGGAAAAAGATTTAAGTTGTTCTAAGGTATTAGTAGGTCTTAGAGAACTTCAAAGCACAGTAATTAAAATTAGGCTAAATAAGTGGAAAGAGGATTAAAGGAAATACTACTACTTGAGACTGTGTCAGAAGTCAGATACCAGAGGTCTTCGAAAGGCAACAAAAGTTGGACAACTGATTGTGCACTTCTAAGGAACATGGAATTGAGGATTTACACATACTGACTTCATCCTCTCAAGTTTATAACAATTAGATTTACAAGTCCTCACCTATGGTTTTTTTTTTTGTGAACAACAATATTGCCTCACTTCTTATTAATTTGCTTACTGTAGCATTGAAACACCTTTATCAGTTTTAAACTCCTTCATTCTCTGAGGCGAGCATCTTCAATTTTCTTAGTCTCCAGATCATCCCCCAGCCTTAAACTGCAGGGGCACCCCTTCACATCAAGGCTCAGTAGTGACCCACCAATCCCAGACTCGACTGACCAGTTACATCTGGCACAGAAGGACTCCAAGGAAAAGAGAAGGCACAGACTGCTCACACAAGGTATGAGAGGAGAAAAGGGAGGCACCCAGATGAAGGACACTTCTGCTCCTTGTCTGAGAGCTGCCCCATGCAAGACTCCCCTGCAGAAGCCTCTCCATGGCACACATCAAGCTGATTTAAGGGAGGATGAAGTAAGAAAAAAGACAGTTATAAACAGCGATGTATCCTGATTTACAACAGCTCAAACTGTGACAGAAATTGCATCATTAGCCAACAACAGAATGCTTAAAAGATTTCTGAGTTTTCTTCTTGTGTTAGTACTTTTTATTCCACTCTAGATACCTTTATCAAGGAGGCTTAAACAAAATCAGGTCATGGCAATGTGTGACGCTGTTGATAATCCATACCATGAGTAATCTCCCTGTGCTGCCAGAGCACAGATAAGTGTTCATAGGCTTTGCCCAATTGATTTAAAGTTAGGTCACATACACGAGGTGTCTGCCTGCCTGTTCATAAATCTTGGACGTGTCTGGCTGGATGGTGTGTTGTGCCTGCCATATGAACTGTGCAAAATACAGTTCACAGGGTTTTATTACAGCAGTACATTTAATATCTCCACCACTGGTATTTTACACCTCACAATCACCAATGCAGACCTCCAGTCACTAATGCAGGTCTCCAGTCCCTCTGTTCAGATCACCTCTCTTCAACCCAAAAGCACTTCCAGCTCTCACTACGCTGCTGCTAATTGTGTTCTCCATATTACCAGTCTGTCTGATGGGGATTTCCTTTCCAGAGGTAGAAAGGACCTAAGCTCAGGTCTGACATTGAGTGCACTGTGGCACCTCTTCACCTGAAGATTTTTCACCTAAAAATCTCCCAGACAGATCCCCTGGTGGAAGAAGGAAGCCCATCAGTATGCTCAGTGCTTTTCCTGACTCTCCATCAGCCCAGCTAGTAAAATCTTCCTGCTAGGAGTATCCCTCACTGTAAGCAGAAAGAAAAACACTCCCATTCTCAGGTGGGAGTACTGGCTGCCTCTTGAAAATTAGCTGTATTTAGCTATTATAAGCAGTCCACTGTTTATGTTTTGACAGTGGCCTTGACATAATTAGGAATAAATGAATGTTTGATAGCTCCTGTTTGTTCTTCCTCTGAATTCAGTGCAGGCTGTTAGAGGAGTTGGAACACAAAAGCAGCACCCTGGGAATAATGAGTTGTCTGCATACAGAAGTTGCACTGCTGTAAATCTAACTCCAGCAAGTCCTTTTTCAGGAGTTCCCTAACATACAGTGATTTATAACTTTCTTCTTGCAGTTAATTATTGCACTCATACTTCAAAGCATAAGTTAAAATAAGCAATCCTAAATAACCAGTGGAAAAAAAAAATACTTTTAACTCCATTGATAAAATCTGTACACAGCCCTGTGTTAATATGGATTAGGTATGACTCAAAGTTCACAGCTTATTGCAACCATTAAAATATCCAAGACTGCACCATTTCATACAATTGGTATTATCTGCTGTATTCCAGCTTGTCAAGAGCCATATTTTATTTTTAAGGAGTCTTAAAATATATTAAGTTGCTCTTTCGGGGAGTCACAATACTCTTTTGCCTTAATACAAAATAACAGATAGTAACCAGACAAGTTGCAAGATCTTCTTTCTCCTCTGGGACCTTCCATTCCAACAGAAGGGGCAGAGACTTCCTCAGATTTTTCTTTATTCAAATTTTAGTCAAAAGGCAAGAGTTCAACAGCAGAACCCTGCAGCCTATATAATCACAAATGAACTCGCTTGACACCAAGACAGAGTCACAACACCACTCCAAAAATCAAGGGCAAACAGGAGCAGAGAGATAAATGAACCCAAGGGTTTTCAGTATAAACATGGTGGATATTTAACAGCAGTGTTTGCCCAGCAATCCCTGGGTGCAGCAATAAAGTATGACCCAGCAGGGGGCCAGGGTGGGCTCTTTGTCAAGATCTACACTGCAGACCCACCTGCTCCAGCAGTTCTGAACCAGCAGGACTTGGTTAGGCAGCACACAAGCACTTGTTTAACTGGCATTCTTACCTCTGCAGCCAAGTAGTTTCCAGTTGCCAAATGCTTAAATCTAAACAAGCTGTTCCACTGTCCTGCCCCTCCCCGGCAAGGGTCATGGTGGACCACCTGAAAGAAGAATTTACATTTGAATCCTACTCCTCAAGATCACACCTCAGGTCACCGATATTTCCTGCAGCTCACTCCTAATAAAAATATGCAAGCAACATCAGTACAGCCTGCCAAAGACAGGAATTCTGTGCTTACATGAAGCTCACCATAGATAACAACTACTTATATTTACTTTCTGCCAAGCACCAGGAAATACTCTATTACTTTCTGTGCTTTCATTAATCTATTCCCTGCAAACATGATGAGCCAAATTTTGCTTTTAAGTGACATGGTGTGAATCTGCAGCTCAACAAAGTAAGGAGAGCTGCTCTACACTACTAGGCACTACTTAAAAGCAGAATTCAAACCATCATACATTATTTTCCCAATAATACCGGCTCTATTATTGTCAATACTAGGAGCTTCTGAAAAAATTTCATTCAAGTGATATATCCTCAAATCATCTGAAATACCACAGGTTATTTCTTTTATCCCTTGACTGAGCTGAAGGTCATTTGCTTTCTTCAAATCTAGAATTGTCTGTCTCCTCACAAAAAAAAAAATCAACCATTTTTCTCAAGACTGTTCTATATGCACAAAATTTTTTCATCACGCAAGATCTTTTGGGTATAGGTGTTAGATTATTGTCATAGCAAGGATTTGAGACCTACCAATTTCCCATGTTCCTATTTCTTAGTTGACCGAAATGTTTGCTAGTTCCCTCCTCAAAATCATCCCCATTCACAAGACCATCTTTATTCAGGTTAACTTTAAACAAATGTTGATGCGCTGTGGGATGTTTGGGGGATTTCCTGTCAGCCATGGATTTCCATTTTTTATACTGCACATGAAGTTAAACGTAAACACTCAAAACTCAGGGGAGGTGAGTGTCCTTTGATTGGCTTTGATAAAATCACACCATTTACGTCAAGTCTGAATTTGAAAATTGACTCTTCCTCATTTTAGTGCAGGAAAATATAGTAAGAAAGCCTCCTCTCTCCACACACACAGAGCAATAAAGCAGCTTGTCAGGGTTCATCCTACAGAAACCGCTTCATGAAATAATAATAGTTACGGGGAGGTGTGTGATGATATCAGAAGCCTCTGAATGACTCATGTTGTGCTGAGGTTTTTTTACTGAGCCCTGGCCTTCAGGTCCTAAAATATTTATAAAAAGAAAAAAAAAATACCTCTATTTCCCACAGTGCTTTAGAACTCGTTGCAGACGTGGCTGACTGACGTAATGTAGTGCGGAGGAAAATGTGTTGTTTCTTCTCATATTCATCACAGGTCAGAAACTTCTCTTGCTCTGCATGAAATAGCCTCACAACATCTCCCTAAAGAAATATGAAAAAGAAGCACTGTTAAATGGTAGACAAAGCCTCCAGACTAATTTTCTTTGTAACAGCTCCAGTGATGTCAGGAGAGCTGATAGGAAGAAAATATTTCTGAGCTTCCTTTTCCTGGAGCAGGTACCAAGTGAAGAGCATTCAATCTTAGTATCAAGTCTGGAAATCAGATGGGATATTTCAGTCCTGCAGGAGACCCATGGACTTTTGGGAAAGCACCACAATGAAGAGTAGGCAAAAATTAACCTAAAGGTGATTTTTAATTCTAGTTAACTTTATCAAATTGATTTTTTTCATTTCTAATCACTTTTACTATTTAAGGGAAGTGAAGAGATCTTTCTCACATTGTATTATCACTTTTACTCTACAATCAACACCAACGCCCACTGTCTATTTCTTCTGCTGGAAAAATTTTTGTTTCCTCCTGCCTCTCTCAAAGACTTGATACACGATCCTTAAATGGGTCAACACAAATATAACAGTTTCCCTTTCAAATTCTTCCTCAAAAACTGCTGGTACCGTGACACCTATTGAAGAAAATAGACACTGATAATGATTTATTAAAGTACATGGGAGGACAAATTAAGCTTATCTTTAAAATGAAAATGTAAATGATCTCAGGTTTATCTACAGGCATGGAACTGTGCAATACCTCAGCATGTAAAGCTACATTGCCTTATTACAATTACTGTCATCTATAAGCCTGTAATACCACTTTGAACATCTCCATAAAGTCCTTATTTCTTCTTTTATTCATGTGGTAATACTTCTTTACAGTCAAATACAGTAAGACCTTTTGGATTCAAAAAACAATTTAAAAATCATACTTACTCCTTTCAGTACATCATCTCGGTAACTACTGAATTTCATGAACAGTGTTATTTTCCAGCTTGTGTTACAGTTGACAGCATTTACCTTTAGAGAAAAAAAATCCAATTAAAGTATATGGGGATGGGGGTTTTTTTTGAGACATTGCATTCTTCTGAGAGACCACACCACATCTAGGATGGCAGGGGACATGGCTTAGCTACATATCTGTACAGTTCTTAACACTGGTCTTGAAGCTCTCAAGTGTTAATGATTGTAATATTGGAGAAGACTTAGTGGGAAAATGCTGCTCTGTTTGCTGACAACCTACCAAGAACACCCCCAAAGGAATGCTGAATGAGGATTGACTCTCACATCAGTCAGAGTTTGAGACACTCAAGGAAGCCTCACAGAGTTTTCAGTGCTAGGACATCACTGCAGTGAGAATATTTAATCTTGGGTTTTTGAGGCTAAGTAGGAACCAGTTTTTAAGGCTGGCTTTGAGCCTGTTGTGGTCTCTGGTTAACAGTAAAGAACAATATGTCACAGAATGGTCTGGATTGGAAGTGATGTAAAGATCATCCACTTCCAAGTCCCTGCCATGGGCGAGGACACCTTCCACTATCCCGGGTTGCTCAGAGCCCCATCCAGCCTGGCCTTGGACACTGCCAGGGATCCAGGGGCAGCCACAGCCAATTCCCTCAGCCTTTCTATAACCATCTCAGATCAGCAGTTACCCCTCCTGCCCTCCTGAACTCACCTCTTTGCAGCCAGGGTTATCTAGAAGCTCAATGTTGCTGGCGTGCAGAGGCTGTCCTGCATTGACTGGCATGAGAACAACTTTGTCTCCCACCACAACCTGGGAAGGCAGAAATAAAATGCAATTCAGACCTATGAAACTGGCCAATAAAATGAAGTAATGCAGCATGTTTAGAAAGTTACTCAAATGCATGCTCTAGGTGTGGCACTCGAATTTACTTGTGGACAATTCACACATCAGGTCTGTTCCTTCACAATCTGCAATCACTCGGGTTCAAGATTTCCAACTAATGAACACTTGCATTCCCAATAAGCATGTCCCCTAGTTCAGCAGAAACTCCAGACCATGAAATAGATATGAATCTGCAAATGCCAGGAGCAGCTCAGTTCATCCAAAAGTTACACTAAGTTCTCTTTATCCCTGCAAAAGCTCGGAAAGTAATGATGAGCCCCCAGCTCTGTGGACCATCTGCTGGTAAATGTCCTGACAGGCTCAGGAGTTCTGTGATTCAGACTGCTTGACTGCAACCTAGAAAGGCACAGAAATCACTGCAAATTCAGAAAGAAGTGACACACTCCATCCCCTCTGCTGTTGCTCCCTGAATGGTGCTTGAGCTCAGCACAGGCAGCAGGTATAAAAGCTGAGAGACCTTCTCTCTACAAGAGGAATTGCTAGCTGGCTCCCTGCAAGCAAATTCCCCATGCTCTTGCAATTCCTTATGATATACAAAAATTTCTTTAACCTAAAAACTGCGTGAGACATGCATATGGAGAATTCAACTCATGCCTGGAAGGGGGAAAAAATAAATAATAAAAAAATAACAATCCACATAGATTGGTTGGCACTGGGTCCTGATTTGCTTATGCTGTTCACACAACTTTGAGCACACACAGACATGAAGACAAGTGGCTACATGTGATTTTTTTACTACATGAAATGCTTCACAAGCCATGCTTTCTTTTGGAAGACAAATAAACAAAAACACTTTCTGCATTGATCAGCACATTTCTGATGAAAAAGCTGAGCCCAGTTCAGCCTTGTGCAGCTTCAATGCAGGTGAATTTGGCCTCATTGCAGAGGTAAAAAGGAAAGTTTGCCTGTTCTATACCAACACAAATAAAATAAACAGTAAAATAAACAGTAGCATAAGACAGTGTCACCATGCTCAGATCACAGACAGAAATCCTACTTGATCCAAGTCATGGGAACAAGTTCACTAACAGAATCAAAATAATGACAAGATGCCTATAAGACATTTCTTATGCAATACATTCCTGCATGCCATGCTTCACACCGACATTACTTACAGCCTGTTTTAAGAAGTTATGATCAGACAATTCATTAACCAAAATACCACCAGGTTTGCATCCTGCAAAGTGGAATCAGGACTTGAAAATTGTTGTAGGTACATCAGGACCACCAGAACTAAATCATTAAGAGATCACATCATTAAGCATCTTATTTAAAAAGAAAAAAAAAAACTAAAATGGCAAATAATTGCAGTGCAATGCACACAGCCCCAATCCTGCTATCAGGGCATATTTTGGTGTTCAGTCCATCTGGAACCAGCTCTAGTCTTAATCAGTCCTATTTTCCATTGAAGAGCAGCTTCAACAGCGATGAAGACTTATAAAAGTCTGCAGAAAATATTGTAGTTACGCCAATACTGTAAATGTTCAGTCATATTCTTTAACTACTTTCACTGACTTGCAAAATTAATCAGTTGCTAGTGATAATAAGCTAACCTTCTTTCAGAAGACTAAGTTCTAAAATATTTCATAAGGCTAAAAAACTGATTGTTTACCAGAAGAGTCACACTTTATCAGATTTCTTTCCATTCTGTATGACTTCATGTATCAGACTCCTTTTCTTTTAGGATATATGGCATATTTAGCTCTACCTTGCCTGCACTACCTGGCACAGTAGCAGCCATCTAAGCAGTAACTCAATACTCACTCCTATTGCTTAAAAGACTTTCTAAAACATGTTTTCTAGGGAATTTCCTCATTATAGTGCAGAAATATAGTTTAAAAAAAACAGTGAAGTTTCTAAACAGAGTAGGGGCCTGATATACCAAGCTAATTCCATGAATTGAAAGGCTTCGATGTCTGGGGGTAACAGAAAAGAAATAGTGGGTACAAGACTGGAGCCACCCTCCATCTGCGAGAGGAAAATTAAGATTTCCCACATCACTTGCTACTCCTGTCCTCTGTGAAACAGCTGCCTGGTCTGTGTGTCTGTTGAAGAGGTAACAATGTACAAAAGCACTTATGAGAGGGCTACCACCGCCCTAATGTTTATCGCTGGAAATTTGAAAAGAAAATAGCCAAATCTGCTTGTGCCTAGTAGAAACAAGAAACAACCTCTCTTTGTAAAATTCCCTCTGTAAATTACTATGGGAAGTTGCCAGCTCCAAAAGGCAACGTGGAATCTGAAAATGAGTAGCAGCCCATTCCAAAGGAACCTGAGTTAGGAATAAGCCAGTTTGCCACAGCTCAGAGCCTGTCAGACAAATCCCCATAGGAACCGACCAGGAAAGAGATCTGTAGAATGGGATGCTACTGCCATCACTGCATCAATCTGCAATCTTTATACATCAGCAGGTCTGCTTCCAAACCCTCATGTGTGCACGACAGTGGAAAATGGAATCGGAATCTCTGCAGTACTGAGGATGACTTTGAAGGCCTGGGATGGTTCTGCTGCTCTCAGCTCTAAGGGCTCACCGTGGCTTTGCAGATGACAGGTGGGAATCCCAAGTCCTCTCTCTGGAGAGCATGACACACATACACACTTATTTTCCAGGCATGAGAAATTAAAAGGGGCTCAACTGCCATTACTGCAAGAAATTAAGCTGAAACAGTAAGTCACCTTTTTTTCTCTCCAAAGAAGGGAAAGAAGTACCAAGATAATGTTTGAGCCACATGTGTTTTCCTCAGCTGAAAAACCATGCAGACACCCCCCTGAGGGCTATATTTGCCCTATTTCTCTGGAACAGGCTTTGGGAAAAAGCAGGATTTTCACATACCCTTATGATCACTATGTGGAGCAGGGAAAGATTCTGACTCTAGGGATATTTGGCCAGGAGTAGGGAATTCAATCCTTCTCATCTTAACAACAGATTGCAAAAGAAGCGGCAAGCAGCCACACTCATCATCCTGGAGAGCATCCCAAAAGCTGGGTAACCACAAAATTAATGAGAGAAAGTACATGAAAAAAGAGGCATTCCCTTCTGCAATCCTAAGAAGGCTTTCACTGATTATACACAGGGGAAAGGAGCCAAATATTCCCAGCCAGGTCTACAATATAAAACCACACAAGTTCATCATCCTGTGGCCTTCTCAGAGGCAGATCTAAATTCCCCAAATTAGGCACTTAACCAAGCCACAGAATGAAGAAGGGAGTTGTGATCTCACGGCACAACTCTCAGATCTGCAGCAAAGAGCTCTCTCGTGCATTCTTCCTCTCATCAATATGCAATACTCCTGCTGAAACCTACCCAGAAAAGACTTTCCAGACTATCCAACCCAGCTCCAGTCATAGATACCATTTTCATGTCAGAAGGGAATACAGATTTAAAGAAAGCTGATGTATTTCCTAGAGACATTCTCTACTGACCCCTTGAAAAAAATATTGCCACAAAATCTAGGAAAAAAACCAAAACCTTTTAAAAATTAAGCCTCTAGCATAAACTATGATTTCTTATCAGCTTTGTAAATCTACACACAAAAGGTAAACTTAGCAAAGCTCAGAGAGTTTGATTGCATGCAGCAACACAAGATTCCAGATCATATAATTCAGTAACACTTTCCAGTTATACATGAAAGGTAAAAGTCCCAGTCACTCTTCAAATTTCTTCTTTCCTGAACTAAATCCATTATGAGACAGTCCAGCAGTGAAGAAATTGTCTCCTGGAATTCTTCTCCATTCTCAACACATTCAGTATTTCCACTTACATTGTCACCTTCACTCCTCAGTTTCCAGAAGGGCTGGATATAAAACCAGGAGCCCTCATTCCCTGCAGCATCCAGGGACACACGCATAGCATTCTTCTCGAGCAGAGCTGGCAATCTCTTGTTGACTGTGAGGTATTTGTTGCTTTTTATGTGCAGTAGCTGAGAACAAAGAATAATTTTTAAAAAATAGTACAACTTTTAGTTGCTTTTTCTCCCTCCAGTCAAAAAAGGAGGCGCAGGCTTTCACACTGCAGAGATTTTCTACAATAAATATAAATACAAATTATAACTAGAAGGCAGTTATTAAAGTATGCTACAGTTTAGGAAAGCAGATGATCTATCTCAGATTGAGAGAGATGTGTCAGGGATCAATTTTACAGCAGGGCAAGTGTCCATTGCAGTGTTCCCTTCAGGAATTACATCCATTACAGAAAAGTTGTACTGCACTTAAGAACTTAGCTCCTGTCTCATTTATATGTCATGAGATACAGATTACTTCAATGATTTAAAAGGAGCTGCACAGCACCTCTATAGCGTGACTCTGAAATAACTCTTGAAAATAAAAGACACATTTACATTCAGATTCTAAACTGCAGTACCAAGAAATACACATAGAATTTTTATTATGACATATTATTTAAACAGGAATATGCAGCACTTCTGGTAGGCTTTGAAACAGGCAGAAAAAGCACAATATTGTAAACTTCACCAAGTTCCGTTTACCTGACCCTTGACAATCCAGATTACAGTGGGTAGATAGTTAATTTTCACTGTAACCTTGAAATGAAACAACTGCTTCCTTTCCAACAGTGAAGGCAGATGGATTTTAATAGGTTTACCTGGATAACATTGCTGTATTTTACAATTTCACCCAACAGCTTTCTGTTCTCGCTTTCATTCTGCTTTTGTTCCAGTTCTGCTGCATGCTGCAAGAGAATGATTATTTCTTTAGACTCTACAAAAGAAGTACCTGAAACACACAGTGCAGAAAGGAAATGACATCTTATTTAAATCCTGCAACCTACAAGCATTACTGCACTGGAAATATTAGCACCCAAATCCTGACACTGATTCTGATTTTTTTTATTACCCAAAATAGGGACTCTGTCACAATTTATGGGTCATACCTGAGATGCCCGCTATTTTTAAAATTTTCAAGCCCAAAAAGTAATTTCATGTGCTTTACTTGATCCTGTAGAGGATAAAAAATGGCTTATGATTAGCTTCTCACTGTCACCTTTTACTTGTTGGGGTTTAGTTGTACATAAATACATGGACTTTACAACAAAAAAAAGGTAGCTCACAATTGGCAATGTTAAAATTAAACACAATAGACTGGGTCAAACACAGCCACAGAGAAAACTCTCCACTCCCAGCACTAATTGCTGTGTAACTCTGGCCACACACCATGTGCCTTCCTTGCTTTTTTTAACTGGAAGCACTGGTGACCTCTCCACTGCCCACAAAACTGTCATGCAGGTTTGACAGGACCTTGTTTTCACTTAATCTATGCACTCAGTTACAACATCAGGCCAGCTGTTTTTCAGATACAGGTGAGTTGATCCATCCATGCTCTATTTGAGATAAAATAAAATCTCAAAAAAGGTTCACAAAAGAATCACTTAGACTGAAGGCAAGGACAAACACAATTTTGAGGAATTCCCTGGCTAAAGCATTGAGGACATCTTTGCCCACTCCTCTGCCTAATTCCTGATAAGGATTTTCAGTATTATTTAAACCAGGGCACCACCCTGATTTTAACAACTCCATTTTTACTTTATAAAATTTCTGAAACCATTACCTTGCTTACAGCAAAGGCAAAGCCCCCAGCCCAAAGTGAGACAAACACCAGGCCAGAGGCTATAAATGCCAGTCAGGAGGTAGGAGAGCTAAGGAGAATATCGAGTTGCTATGGTGGCATAATAATACCCATCACAGTGGTTCCCAAGGCACTTATTATTATTTCTGGTGCTATTGTAATTCTACAGCCTGCAGATTGAGATAAGATTACAAATACAGATGTCTCTTACTTGAAGTTTCTTCAGCAGTGCTGCTTCAGTATGGTTTCCTTGTTTGGCTTGCTTGGCTTTCCAGTATTGCTTCTGGGCTGAATATCTGTTCATAGGACACACCTTGAACAGGCAGTCTGAGGAAAGATTGAAAGAAATACTCCTAAGCCACGTTGAAAGACATTTCCTTCATTTGTAATTATGCTTTGGTTAGTTTTTTTTCTGTCCAGAAATGTTCAGATACCAGTGCTTAAACACAGCCACGAAGTCAGCTTGGTGGCAATGATACCAGAAACACGGTGGCACAACATTAGAGTTGAACCTAAAGCCTTTAAAACCACACAGGTTCTCACTTTGTGCAATCCCTGTAAGAGCCCCAGGCTATGATGCTGCCATATCTGCCTGCTGCTTTATTAGCACCCCAACATCCCAGAGGCACTGTTTGAAGGCACTTGAACGTTGCCAGAGTGGTCCTGCTGTCTGTTTGCCACACACCTGGCTTGCCCAGCTCCTCCTGGCACTGCTGAATCTAAAGGTGGCAGGGGCATTCAGCAGCCAGCCACCGAGCAGGTTCACACAGAGTTTGGGTCTCTGTGCCTTCAAGTTGTTTTTACTGTTAGGGGTTCTTAATCAAAGTGACACAAGCTGAACATCACCACTGCCCAGCAGACCAGGAAAAAAAGCAGGTGAGAAGCAACCTGAGCAGGATGGCTGTGCAAATGAGAGAAAAGGATGAGGAGAAGGAGAAGTCTGCAGTCAATGCAGAGATGCTGAATAAGAAATGAGCAGCAAAGGAAAGAGAATGTCAATACACCAACCCTCATGCCACCCCCACCACCTCCCCACATGGAGTAAAGGGGCTGCAGATCAAGAAAGGGGAGAGATGTCTGGAATGAAGCCAAGGGGTTCTTCCCCAAATGCTTGTTCAATTGTTCATCTTTATTTCCCAAAACCACAATTAATTGAAAGTTACTGTTAAATGGCCAGAAACTGAATTTTGTTAAACTGCCTGACTCAAGAGGGGTTTTTTTGGGTGGGGGGGGGTTGTCCAGTGGAAGTCCAATAAACTAGAAACAGAGGCTCATAATTCAACCAAAGCCAATTACTTTTAGAATGATAAACAACATCTAGTCTTGCACAGTCACAATCATCAACTGCTCCAAAAGCAGCAGGACCTGACAGACACTTCATATAGCAAACACTGGTAATTGTCCTCTCACACATCACATCTATTAAGAGGCAAGAAGAGGGAAGAGTTCTCCTGTGGGAGTAGTAAGGACACTCAGGACTGGGTGTTGCAGGATGAAACTCCTTCCCAACATGGGCTGCAGTCTGTGGATGTCAAAGGAAGGTCTGTCCCCAGCTACGAGCCCTCCATATTTCACTGGCACCCATGGCCATGCACATGGGACCCAGTTCCTATTCAAGCAGCAAAGTTTGTCCATACAAAATTGCCCCCAGTGGCAGAACCTTCCTTGGCACTGACCCAAAGTGCTCATGGATTTACTCCCCCTTCACAGCCCTGAGTCGCTGTTCAATGAAAAAGTTCTACAGATCCTTACCAAAGCAAGTCCAGCCACTCTGCAAAGGTGTTTGCTCTCATTTCACACTTATAGTGGGAATTATATCACACAACCTAGAGTACACAACTCCCAGGTAATTTTTACAATATTCTGGAAGCCAAGAAGGTGAAAAAAACCCCAAAGTGTTGTGTGCCATTAAACTGTACTGTATATTATAGGATATTTTACCTGAAGTATCAGGATTTCAGCTCATAATACAAAACTCTGCTATTATTTTCTGTCACAATCTATAATTAACATGCCTTCTCAGAAGACTTCATGAAACATTTATTTCTCTGAAGTAACAATACCTTCTTTTTATAGGACCAGTCTTCATTTCTCAGTTACTCCCAACACATCCTGCTACTTTGAGTAAACACAGTGCTTCCCATCCTCCAGCAGAGTCTCGGAGCACAGTGCTACCACTCTGTAGAGGACCTTTTTCAAATCAGTATTACTTCAATTGTATTTCCCTCAATTTATTGACAAAAAAAAAATCATATTATTTGATCCCAGACAAGCTTTTTTCCTATTTCATTTTACTTTTTAGGATTCCATATGCATTGAAACCAGGACAACTCATTGCTTTTCTCTGGGTTTTTTTTTTTTTTTAAGAGTAACAAAACTATATAAATTCAAGCTTCATGATCCTAAACATTGTAAGGAGGTGGAACAGTGCCTGCCCTAGAAATGCTACAGTTCAAATAAACAGGAAAAAAAGAGAAACTGAGGCATAAGATTATAAAGCAACTTTCTACCACACAGCAGATCAAAAAACCATTCCCTCCTGGAGGTCAGTCTAGCAACCCACTCATGAGACAGAATGTCTCTTCTGACTTCTCCAGGCATTCCGAGATAGTCTTAGTTCCCAATCCATTACTTTATGGAGTTTTACATATTCTCTTCCTGAGGACTAATTAATGAGGGAATAACAAAGGTAGGCAAATAGCACCTTCACTCAGGAGGTATGAAAAGCAAAATAACTCCTATTATGCCCTTTAAATGTTTCTAGGTATTGGATAAAGATGGTTTAGAACAATATTTGAGAGATTCTTTGTCTCCCAGACGTCTCTTGGGGTTTTTTTTGTTTCAAGTGTTAGAAATTCAACTCTTGCCCATCATGGAAGATTTCTTTGGTTTGCAGAACTATAGAAATCATCACATGGCTTTATTACAACTAGAGAAATGAGTAAGTGGAAGTGACAGGACTATAAAACCACAGTGTGCACAAATTTACTTGTTTTGGAGGCGGGGAAATGGGCAAAAAGGTAAAACCTAATGTGTAAATGAAAAGGAAAAATGTGGAGGAGCAAGGAGTGGGACAATGAAGTGTCCTAGGCAGGACAACAAAAAAGAGAAGGAAATTAAAGCAATTATGGAACTGGGAGAAACAAGAAGAAAATAAAAGGATAAACCAAAATTATGTAGAGGGTAAATAAAAAGAAAAATGGCAGCTGGAAGAGGAAAGGGTGGGAGGAAGAAAGGACAGAGTGCAGAGTAATGGAAGGGAAAGAAGAAAAAATAACGATGTCAGGAAAATCTAGATCAGACTGAAACCTGAAAAGCAAAGGAGGGTATTTAAGAACCCAAGCATCACTTCCACTGCAGAAGCCTCAAGAAATTAAAGGAATACAAGTTACAAATAAGAAAGTTTAGACCATTTTGAAAACTTAGGTCATTTTACATTCAAAATAGGAGACTCCTGCTCTTTTTCCAGAGTTGTTAAATCTGATCAACAAGCAGGTCTTATCTGTGCTATTTTACACCTTGGAAGCTGAAAATGTTTCCCACTGGAAAGCTGGAGTGTGTTTAGGGTCTCAGATTAAGAAATCCTGCAGTTTTGTGGCTCATGATGTGGCTTTTCTTCAGAGGTACACAACTCCTGGCACACACTGTTCTCCCCCTCTCTGTGAACCCAGCCCTGCAGCACAGTAAGCATTTCCATCACCACACTCAGTACCTTGGATCTCACCAGCTTCAGCTGGAATTAAGACATGAAGCACCTGGTTTGATCCGTCCCTTCAATGCAATACAGGAAATGTTCTGTGGGGTTTTTTCACCAGACTCCAGGAAACACATGTGAGACTAAATTCCACCCTCCTTTGCACTGACGCAAATCTGGATGTGCACCCTGGTGAACACAGAGCCACTCCAGGTTCATCCCAGTGTGACTGGGGGAGAAATGAGGAGCACAACTTCTTCATATGCACACAAAATGAGAAGCAACCACATCTTTCCTTAGCTTACCAACACTCCATGCTGCAGCAAGCAACCAGAATAGCAACCACCCACTCAGGAAAAAAAAAAAAAAAAAAAGAGAAAGCAAACACATAACAAAAATGAAACTGCTATTTTGAGACACCTCTTTAGACAGGCTTTCAGTTCAGGCCAACAGCTCAGTACCTTGATTTGATCTCTGAGTGAACCCTGTAGGGGAGATACAAGTCAAAACCACAATCTTTCTTTTTTGTTCCTCCCAGTGGGGAAAGGGTTGATAAAATATTACCAAAAAAGAGCAGATACGATCCTCTCTGATATTAATTTCCAGAGTCAGTCCTTGAAATCTAAACATCTTGTTAGAAACATGTTTTTCTCATACTTCTTTGACTCCCAGGTCATGCTCTAACCTCAAATCAACGCCAGTTCAGCTATCAGTGATAAAAACATTGTAAACCATATAGACAGCAGTTCCTATTAGTGAAGAGGCCCTACTCATCCTGCTCTTAGATGTTATTTTGAGCTGCTTATGTCTAATCATACAATTAATCATTCATGCCTAAATCTTCCTTTCATATTAAGAATCTACTTAAAGCAGTTTTTGTTTGGTTTGTTAACTTTGCTGCTTTAATTGAAAGCTATATCCCAGAAGACTCTTGGGGAGAAAAAGATAGATTTCACTTAGATTCTTGCTTATAAGAACAACATTTACAAACTCTTTTGCCTCAGGGCTCTGAGCAGAGCCAAGAAATTTAGCAAAGTATGGCAGAGATGTGCTTTTGGTTGTTCTCATGGTAGAGACACCTCTGTGGTTCAAGCTACTAATTCCCAATTAGACAGCAAGTTTCTGCTGGGCTCTCAGCAAAGCTCCTGCTATTCTCACACTTAGAATTTGACTTAAAGGGTGAAGGAGAAAACATCCAAATCGTTCTTGCAACCATCCTCCTGAACACACATTGCTTACGTATACTTGAAGCTGATATGATATTCAATGCCCCTAACACTATAGCCATGCTTACAGAGAGGTGGCTTGCATAAATTCATGTGACAATTACTTTTTCATTAATTTAGTCCCTCCTTCCTACAGGTGTTAGAGACTTTATAGCTCCTTTCAGTAACTTCAGGGAGCTTACAAGAAAGCTGGATGGAGAAGAACTTTTTAAAAGGGCATGGAGTGACAGGACAAGGGGGAATGGCTTCAAACTGAAAAAGGGTAGATTCAAGTTGAATATGAGGAAGAAATTGTTCCCTGGGAGGGTGCTGAGGCCCTGGCACAGGCTGCCCAGAGAAGCTGTGGCTGCCCCATCCCTGGAAGTGCCCAAGGTCAGACTGGTTTGGGTTCTGAACAACCTGGGACAGTGCAAGGTGTTCCTGCTCGTGGAAGGAGGTTGGAATGAGATGGGCTTTAAGGTCCCTTCCAATCCAAATCATTCTGTGTTGCAGCTCATCCAAAGTTGCATGCTACCACCATGGCAGTAGTCCCAAAATTAAACTATGGAGCACTATAAAGAAGGGAGTGAATGAGTGACTGGAAGAAAGACTGCAAAAGGAGCTAAGCAGCAGCAGGGAGAAGAGTAGCTACTAAAAAGTTCTGGGGCAGAGAGGGAGAAGAGGGAATCCCCAAAAAGAGGAGGATCTGAGTTAAAGGGAAGGAAAGGTTTGATGCTGTGGTGAAGAGGGAGCAGAGGCAACTGGAGATAAAGGGATGTGCTATGCAAGCAACAGATAGAGGTTATAACAAGAGACAGAGCCAAAACTGTCCACAACTAATGGAAACCACTCCCCTACAGAAGCTGGGATGTAACTCAGGAGTACAGCCCTTGGTTTCCCCAGCAGCAGAAAACATCTGTACATTTGGCAGTGTCCCATCCTCCTCTGACATCTGCTCCACATGTGCTGGCCATCACTGATGGCAAATCATTGGTGCTGGGAGTTCAATCGGTTTCCACCCTGCATCAAAGTGCCCAAATCATCAACGCAGAAACCTATCAACTTTTTCTTTCTTTGCCTTTGGAAGTTAGAAATTAACAACACAATTGCAAGAAAAGCCCTCTAATGCACTGAAGTTATAAAATCAAGTTCTCAAATACTAGACAGTGAAAAAATAATGGCTGTCTTTTCAAGGTACGAGATTCTTAGTTGTAGGCATTTGGGTGTATTCAATTATCCTATCACAAATCCTTCCCAGTGACCGTGGTCTCATCTAGAAACCTGGATATGCTCAACTTGAGAAACATATCGGGGTAGTCCAGCAAGAGAAATACCATCCAAAGAATCCCCACCTGGTATTTTCTACAACTTGGAAACTGTGAGTCACTTGCAAGCAGTGAGAGGGTAAAATCACAGTTAAGTAGCCTGAAAGCCACAGTGGATGCTACCCCCAGCTCTGCTTTAAAGTTTTTCAGTCACACAAGCAACTGAAATTTATTACTGTTAGTTTCTAAGTATGCACCATCACTTTCTTGGTTTCCAGTATCTGCCAGTGTGCTGAATACTCACAGCTGGAACTGGAACCAACTGCTGATGTTTCCTGAATATATAATGGAAAAAAGTCTTGAACTCTCTGGGAAGGCAGAACTTCACTCTCCTGGTGTTTTAAATGCTTTATTTTTCTCAACAGAAGCATATACATAAACACTGCAAATAAAATACTAGGGTTAAGCATGTCAGTGAAACACCTGACAGTCACAGAATGGTTTGGGTTGGAAGGGACCTTAAAGATCATTGAAAATAGATACAAGCAGCCATGAAACACATTTGCCTTACTTTAAATCAGGCAAGTCATACTCTATCTCAGAACCAGTGTGAATCCAAGCCCTTTTAAGCCAAAAGAGGCCTGGACCAGGCTAGCAAGGCTCTGCTCTGGCAAAGTTATGAGTAATTTTTCAGCAGTCAACAAGTAAAAACTCCATGTGGTCAATGCACTGGGGTTTTTTTGGGTTTTTTTTCCCAATAAGAAAAATAGCAGAATTATCTAAATTTACAAAGTCAAGTTGAAAAAAAGTCTTAAGCAAAAGCAAAACAAAAAGCTGACAAAATATTTGGGGGTACTCCTTAAAATGGTAACTTGGAAAAAAAATAAACAATCCATCAGCTCAAGTAGCTTTGGACCTCACAAGTTTCTTTCCCATTTACAGTGAGAGCAGGGCCGGAGCAAAGAGTTTGTCACAGAGCATGGGATCAGTGTTCAATGTACAGAATAGAGCAAGCAACTCTTGGACTACAGGAAAATTCAGCACCTGCCCCGTATTTTGCACCTTTGCAAATTTTGTAATTCATTCTCAAGGTCTGCCATTCATGTTCCACTTTGAAACTTCATCCCTGTGGCCACAAACCCTCTAGAAAGTCATATTACAAAAGTGCCCAAGGAGTTAGAATTGCATCAGTTGGTCATTAAAGAGAAATGATCCCCCCAAGTGATTTTACTGACCTCGGAACTTCTTTGGAGGATTAGCAAGGTCACCTGCCTCTGGCTGGACCACACACCGGTCATCCACTAACCTAGAAAAGCAAAAGTTATCACACTCATTAAAACATGCCATCAATGTTTATAAATGCACAGACATGCCTACCACACCACAGACCCAAAGCTTCCACATTTCTCCAGTGTAATACAAAAAATCCCTTAGAAACTCTGTTATTCAGTTACTAAGCATAACCAAGAAAGACTGCATTTTCTTTCCAGAGAGGAATTTCTTCTACAGCACTAAATTATGGTCTGTGTTTCAGATCCCACTTCATTTAAATCCAGTTAAAATCCCTTTTGTCACACCAAATACATTGATGTTCTGTGGAAAATTTATGTTTTCCTTCATCTGAGCTATTAACCCTCAGACACAGTTTGTTTCTCTTCAGCTGTTGAATTTTCTTCTTCACCATTTCCCATCTTTTTCCTCTGAGGAGGCATGTGGAATTAAGGCTCAGCTCTGATCAAAACTCCCAAGACCATATTTTCCCATGCTGAAATGAATAAACATTTCTTTAACCCACAGCAGAAAATCTAGATGACAAATCTAATATATTTCTTGTAATATTTTAGAAGTTAAATAAATAATGCAATTTAAAATACAAATTGTTAAACTTATCTCAGAACTTCCTAGACATAAATTCAGCTTCCTTTCAGGAAGCATCCTGTAAATAATTTGCCCATTTCAAACAATTATTCAGGAAAATCATGTTTAAGGACATACTACTGCCCTGCCACTTCACAGCAACATTCTCAGCAGCATTTTTGTTGGAAATTGGCAGAAAAAGCACAAATTGGCTTCAGCCAAGTTACACAACAGATGCATTCAGCTTTCACTCAAGTTGGTGAAGGCTTTGCCTCCAGCCACAAGTGCAGCAAGGCAGATCCCTGAGCACATCCATGAGTTTTCTACCTCTAGCAAGATGGCAAAGTCTCCACTGTGGCTGTAGCTCCCAGAAGCAAAAGAACTTTGGAAGTCAGCAGTTCCAATCTCATAACAGACTTTGAAGCAAACATGAGGCATCTGAGGAAGGAGAATTGATGAAACAAAAGGAGAGAGCAGGGGGCCCTAGGGAGTTGTGTTCTTCACAGTCTAGGTTAGGCCAGGCTTAACAAGAACAGAGTGAGGTTTGGAAACATCCTGCATTCTGTCCGCGTTCTAATAGGCCAAAGCTTCCTATAAACATAAACAGCACCTAAAACCTGGAGTCACAGACAGCTGACTGGAAAGGACTACCTTAACAGAAGCTTTGACAAAGGATTTTAATGCCAAGGGGTACTTCTCACTCACAACAAAATCCCTCAAAGGTTTTTAAGGAGGAACCCATAAGGTTTGACTTTATGGGTGGAGGTATATTGAAAAGCCAACCATAACTCACAAGGAACCTCCTGTGTTCCTTGGTGACAACTTGTGCACCCTCACGACAACCACACCTGTGGGTGAAATGCAAAACTTTGACTGTGGCATGCCACTGCAGCAAAAGCCAGATAGAGAACAAGGTGTTGGTGCTGAGCAAAAGAAATGAGATCCTGCACTCTCTCTGAGCCAGCCAGCTGCAGTGCTCAAACACACTGGCCTGGCAGAGAACACATTCAACAATTAATACTAATCACTTGCTGTTGGGCACTCTCTAAAAGCACAAAGATAAGGACCATAAATGAGTTTGGCAGCATTTAGGAACCAAAGACATCAGAGAAGACAAAGGAAAAAGGAGCTGGTATCACTTCCACCCTATGGACACAAAATCAGAGCACAGAAAGGTTGATTGACATGAGGCAGGGCAGTGGCATGACAGAGCAGGAACATCATCTCCTGAGCCCTTGCTCAGCACCTCAGCTTCTCACACCTTTGTTTCTTATAACACAAGGACAAAAATCTGAGGAAAGTATTCCTTTGTTTATTTAGCAGTTATTAAATTAACAATTTAATACCCAGCATTTCCACATAACGCCATTCATCCTGTATTCCAGCTGCATGACCTCCAGGGAGTCTAACAGCTCCTTGTTTACTCTGGAGGTGCTTGTTACAGTACCGAAGGGAGAGCAGAGCTGCACATTGCACATGATGCAAGACTTCAGCCTGCCCTGTGGAGGGGAACACAAGAGGTTCTTCAAACACAGACCACTTCCTCTGACACATAATTCAAAATATTCAAATCCCACTTTTATAGCGAGCCAAAAGCAGCTGCTGGTTTGTTACTGGTGGCTGCGTTAAACAAGCAGTAATTCAAGACCTTTGTAACCTGCTAACAAATCCATTTGAGATGTGTGAAACCAAACAACAGGCTTGGCTGCAAAAGGTCCTGGGCACCTGCAGTGACTGTCAGACCACACCACAGCAGGTTTTAAGATCACTTGCTTGTACGTTTGAATAAGAGGCCAAAGTGCACCAGACCAGGCTTTTCAGATACAAGCAGTATTATATTTATACTATTATACCATAAAAAGTGCAAGCTATGTAAACACTGATCCAAATTATGGTGACAGTATTCAAGCCACTTAACCATGGTACTATCAGAGAAGCTTTAACATCACGGGGTTTAATTCCTCAGCTGGACCACAGACAATACTGCTTTGTGCTCTCTTGCTGTCATTCAGCACCTGATACATACAACACAATTGCATTTCAGTTTTCCATACATTGGCAGCACATAAATGACAAAGGTGATCCCTGCCCATGTATGACATGATCTCTAGCTGAGCTAGTTCTCCCCTGAACACAATAAATACCTGGGGTTTGCACAATCCTTCCAAGTAACTGCTGTGATTAAGCTGTACAGTTCATTGGTAGTGCCCAAGATAAATCACCAGGAAAGTCAGAACAGCAATTACACCCCTGGACTTTACGCATGGCCCTTTGTATTCAGTAATTGCAAAATTAGGGGCTGAAAGCAACAACGTCCATGAGATTGCTTGTCACAGATGCCCAATCTTTCTCCCACCTAAGCCAGTGGAAGTTTTTCCACTCACTGCAGGGCAAGCAAGGGCAGTTCCTCATCATAGTGCCACAAGCAGCCAACTTTACAGACCAGCAGGTGTTTAAGCTACTAAGGCCTCACAGTGTACAGCAGTGTACACAGCTCCAGTGTACAAAGGCTCATCAAACAAGAATTGGAGCTACCTAAAGCAATGCCTAGGAGACAAAGTGTGCTTCTCCACAAAGGCAGGGGTGAGTCAAGGCAGTTTCAACTCCCCAATATCACAGAATCACCCAGGATGGGTCAGGGTGGAAGGAGCTACAGTGGGGCAGCTGGGCCCTCCCAGAGCCCCAGGATTTTGCCCAGACAGCTCTGGAATAACTCCAGTGAGGACACTCCACACCCTTTCTGGACAATCTGTTCAGTGCTCAGTCACTGCACAGGAAGAAAGTTCTGCCTCATGTCAAGTGGTCAAAGCATGAACCTAGAGAGTTCTGCACCTCTCTTCCTCTCCTTTCATTCTCCCCCCATCATCTGGTGGAGTTGAAGCTGTCTCTTCCCTGCTGAAATGGGAAGAAGGACACTGGGGTGAGAGAAGCAGGTCTGAGCAACAGCAGGATAACTGATAAGCAAAGTATGTTGGCAGAAAAGTCTAATAGTACCTGGGTGCATAGATAGGAATCATACATACTCCGTTAAGTCTTTGTGTCCTATAAGCTCCCCTGATTACCTAACACAGGCTAAAGGCAAATACACCAAAGGTTTCTAGGAACTTGCAGATGTAGTGCAAGAGTTAAGGAATAGTTGTACAGCTGTAATCCTAGAAGGACTCTTCCTCAGGATGAGTTGTCTTAGATTTACTACTGAGATACAGTTGCATTCTCAAAGAACAAACACCAAGGTAAGAAAACAACAGGAAAAGAATTATGGTGCGTCTCATGAATTTTAGGTCTCTTTCATAACATAAAATGCTTTTTAGATTGTCAAAGAAAGCAGCCACATGATAGCATTTATCTTAGCTTCATGCTCAAGTTTCAAAAATACCATCCTGAAATCTATTTTGTCTTTTCCTACCAACAGAGATTTCCATCCAGTAATCATAGCCAATATTATTAAGTACAACAATTCCTGAATAAACACATGAGTACACAGACTCTCCCATACGTGAAACTGCACGTGTGTGTGCAACTTGTTTAAAAATACAAGACCCAGCTGCCGACGCCTGTTACACATTTGGTACTATTTATACATCTATTGAGTATTTTACTCCTCAAAAAGCTGAATAAACTAAGCTAGAGGCGATGTCTTCAATCTAAGACACTCACCTTTTACTCTTAATGGTATCATAATTTCACTACCTTTCTGAGCAGCACAAGGCCTGGGCAGCAGCAGGAAGAGGGGCAAAGTTGGTGACGGGCATCAGCAAGAGAAGCTGGACATTTTAACTGCCAGTGGAGCCCAGCAACATATTTATTCACAAAGAATGCTGAGGTTCCATCCCAAAACCACATAACCTCAACATCCTCTCATGAACAAAGGAGCGGCCCACAAAACCTCCCTCCTTTGCTCCTCAGCTGTCCCTTCATACAATCTCCTCCACAGAAATGTTCCTCCAGAGCACCTGCCACCCAGGACACTTCTTTCCTCCCAAACTAAAGCACAAAGCCTCTCCCGTGCTCCACACATCCCAGCAACCACTTGGGAAGAGAGGTGCCAGTCATACCACCAAGAAACCAACCAATAACGAACAATAGGTGATTAAAATTTTGCTGCCCTGGAAATCAAACATAAATACCTAAGTGCCAAAACAATCAGATCCACCCAGTTCTTCTCCAAATCCACCCACTTTTCATTTCACTGAGCCTCTTATCAGGCATCTAGGTCAGCCCACTTCTTGTGTGCTTCAAGTGGTCTCCTGCCAAAAATCTACAGTCATCCTACCTCACCCTTCCCAAAATGTGAGTTCATACTCCTTTCTGACTACCAGCCCTGCTTCAAATGATTTACAGCTCTGTGATTAGCTACCCTATATGAAATGTGTCCATTTTCCTGTCTCTTTCCAACACCAAATTTTCCACCATCACCTTTTCACATCAAGCAAACCCTAAGCTCGAGCA